GAGAGAGAGAGAGAGAGAGAGAGAGAGAGAGAGAGAGAGAGAGAGAGAGGAGCAATAGAAGATTGTTGTGTGGTCCAAGGAAGAAGGCGGCCATAGCCGCGGAGCTTGGACACGGAGGTGAAAGAAAGAAGACGAGTAAAGAAGAAGGGAGAGACGAAGGATGACGACGAAGCCATAGCCGAAGAAGGAGAAGGGAGAGACGACAAAGAAGAAAGAAGACATAGCCGGGGTGAAGCGAGGTAAAGAAGAAAGAAGGAAGAAGGGGGAGGACAAGGAAGTTGGCGAGGAAGAAAAGGTGCCGGCAGCCATAGCCGAATTCAGGGTTGACTTAGGTGTTGACCAAAGGGTTGACCAACGTTGACCAAGACTCTGACCGGAGAGTTGACCGGCGGGTTGACTGGCGTTGATCAAGGTGTTGACTAGCGAGTTGACCAAGCGTTGACCAGCGTTGACCGGGGCTGCTGACCGCGAAATTGACCAAGCTGGAGTTGGTATAATCTCGCCAAGCCCTTAGCCTATTCCCTCACCCTATGGATGTGCACTCAACCCTTGGTACTTGCTGAGTCTGTCTGTCTCTTCTGTCTGCATTGAGTCTCTTCTTTCCAGGTGCTAGGAACTTTGTGTATGAAGGATAGAGCTGCGTTGACCAAACCCACACGGGCTGAGTAGGGCGAAAGGCTGTGTCTGACGACTCGACTGACCTGGAGGACACGAACACTCCCAAGGACCGGTACAGACCGGCTAGCAGCTCGGTGTGGCACGGTAGGCCCAAAATCCGAGTTGTGGGCTGCACAACCAGCTGTCTAAGTCTTGAGAGGACTTGCTGATCACGTCGTCTTGTTTGCGACGTTAAATAATTCATGAGGAGTTACGGGGGATCCCCTTAAATGCCTCCTGATCAACGTTAAAGTCCTGTAGTGACAACCTTAGTTTTAGGTCCAAGCTAGAAACCCTAGTTCACAGGGTTCTAAACCGGAGTGAAAGCCAGGTGGGACTGACCGCAGGTGCAAGGCATCTGGGTCTGGACTGTAAAGGACAGTGGTGGCGAAAGCTTCTGTCGACCGTGGTAACCTGGCTGGATCAAAGGGTAAGGCTCTGTGGTCCTTAGAGAGTCGGTTAGTTAGTTAAGTCAGTCAGGGGTGTGAGTCTAAGTGGTGAGGAGTGGAACTGACCCTCAGTTGTGCACCTGTCGGCATGGTTGACACGCGTAGTGGCACGAGCACCACCCCGTACACTAAGGAGCAGGATGAGCAAGCCGCCGGAAGGAGAGAAGAGAGAAGAAAGAGCTATTAAAGCAGGCGAAGAAGCAAGCCTTGTTGGAGGAGCAGGCAACAAAGAAGAAGAAGTTGGAAGAGGAGATGGAGAGATTAAAGAAAGAGGAGGAAGAAAAGTTGAAGGAAGTAGAAGCAGAAGAAGAAGAAGAAGAAGAAGAAGAAGAAGAAGAAGAAGAAGAAGAGATTCCCCTACAGAGGAATGTTAGGAGGACAGGGGAAGGAGAGTCAAGTGGCACAGCAGAAGAAGAGAAGTTGGAGAAGATGGTGAGTGAGTGGGTAGCAAATCTATCCCTGGGAGAACATGAAGAGGCCGTGATGTATATTCCCCAGGATGAGAGAGACGCGACAATTGCTGAGATCCAGGCAGTTCAGGATCCCTTGCAGCATCAGGCCTTGGAGGAGGAAAAGAGGATGCAGTGGAAGTTGCGCCTTAGGAGACAGAGAAGGAGGCACATAGAGGTGGCTTCAGAATTGGAGAAGGAGTTGGCTGCCACGAGGGAACAACATGCACAGTTGGCAGAGCAAGCAGATCTCAAGAACAAAGTGGAGATCATAGGCAAGAGCCTAGAAGTGATGATTCAGGCCCAACAAGAGCAAATGAATTATTTGAGGGGCCACGATATAGCTCTGCAGTCCATGCGCGTAGGCTTTAGAGATTTTGCGCATGACATGATGATGCGCATGGGCAATGAAATGCAAGCCCGACTAACTAACATGGAGAGATTCTACAAAGCCACGATCGAGGGGTTAAGCTAACCGCTCCCAAAGAGGAGGAAGCTCGCCCACATAGGGATCCAGTCAAGGTTAAGTTTCCTGATTCGAGAATTTTGATAACTGGGAGGCGAACGTTAATTCTTACGTTCACCTCCAGAAGATCCTCCCTGAGGAGCAAGTCCTCATCGCCTTTCATGCCCTGAAGGACGAAGCAGCTAGCTTCGCCCGATCGCTTGTCAGGGCTGCCAAATGTGAAAATGACATGGTGGCATACTCCATCATTACCCCCCTAAGCGAGTTCTTCAGGTTGCTTCGTGAGCGATTCGCAGAAGTCACTAGGGGAATTAAAGCCTACGATAAGCTACAGACTATTCACTCACGACAGTAGTGGAGTGGGAGAATACTCAAAGGAGTCATGGATGAGTTGGTCGCCGTTCCAGGCCATGGGGTCACGGAGGCCCAATTGGTCCAATTATTCTATCGTGTTATTCCTGAGTCTTTACGAGGGCACTTTTTTGAAAGGAGTAGAGAGTATGTCATCACCTATGATACATTGAGTAAGGAAGTGGTAGCCTTTGAGGCTCAGTCCATGCCAGCCTCCACTTTCTGGCATAAGGACTTAGACAAGGGTACAAAGTGGAAAGGACGTACCATATCGGGGCAAGTGAAGGCCAAGGATCACTTGATCCTTACTTTAGATGAGGGTGGTATGGAGGAGGTCCCGTACAGTCAGATTGAGTGGGGCCTTGAGGAGGAAGACAATAGTGTGAGTCAGGGGAGGACCTATGTTGCTGTCGTGGCTGGAGGGAGGCCGCAAGGAAGAGGAGGCCAGGGCCAAGGGGGCCGGGCCTCTAGTGGCCGAGGACAGGGTGCTTAGGGGGTTGGCGACAGAGGAAACCGCCAAGAGGGAGGCAGGGGTTATGGTCCCCCGCAAAACCATCCGTCTTCTAGTCGGTCACCTCCCAGAAGGGGTGGATGGCACCCTGGTTGGCCGCAAGGCAAGCCCTGGGAAGATCTGGGTCTCGAACAGTCGGTATGGCAGAGGAGAATAAAACAGAATCAGTGCATTTATTGCGGTGATCCTGGGCACATTATTAAATACTGCCCTAAGTATAGAGAGGCCTGATTTGCTGCACAGGCAACAACAGGCAACCGCCGGTGGAGAAGGGTGCGCGCACCACATAGAAACTCCCAAACCACATGCGTCTATGGCAGAGGTTGCTGGCCAGTGCCTAGATACCTGTCCAGAGACTGCTTGCGTTAGAGTCTCTCTAGGCACTTCCCTCACAGGCGTGGCAGAAGAATTGAAGGAGAGGATGCCTGTCTGAGCCAAGATGAAGAAGGATGCGAAAGGACAACTAGTCTTAGTAGATGTAGAGATTTTTCGAGGCAGAGTAGGGGCCCTTACAGACAGTGGGGCCACCCGCAGCTATATCAGTAGGAAAGCGCTGCAGAAGTTAAAGTTGAATCTTAAAGTTGAAAAGTTAGAGGACCCTACAGTCGGTATCCTCGCAGACAATCGCACCATGCGAGTCGAGGATTTCGTAGAGGGAGTCCAGGCGTACTTTCGCTTAGAGAAGGATGGGAAGGTGGAGAAAGTTCTCCATTCCCTGACTCTCCTCGTAGAAGACATTCTTCCTTTTGACATAGTTCTTGGAATGGACTGGGGAGAGGCGGCAAGGGCCACACTCCATTTGAGAGAGCACGAATGTAGGCTCCCTAAACCATCAGGCAAAGTCAAGACGGCTCGTCTGTTTCACGTGTCAGGAGTAGGCAACTCTCTGACACATTGCCGCCTCAGTGTTCTCGCGTTCGCACGATTGGTGGAGCAATTAGAAGAGCAGGTTTTGTGGTCTATGTCAGGCCTGTCACTGAGCCTAAAGAGGAGAAACCCATAGACCCTGCTGTTGCCAAGCTGCTGGAAGAGAATACAGACTTAACTAAGCCGCCTATAGGAGTAGTGTCGCGGCCCATCCAGCATCGCATTGAGATAGAGTATGGCAGTAGGACTCCTGAGGGAGATGTGTACAGAATGTCCCCAAGGGAGTTAGAGGAGCTACGTAAGCAGTTAGACGAGCTCCTTGAGAATGGTTGGATTAGGCCCAGTTCGTCCCCATTTGGAGCACCTGTTCTCTTTGTCCCCAAGAAAGAGGGAAAGCTTAGAATGTGTATAGACTATAGGGGTCTGGATGCTATCACAGTGAAGAATGCAGAACCACTGCCCCGCATAGACGATTTGTTAGACCGGGTGCAGGGCTGCAAGTATTTTTCGAAGATAGATCTAAAGCACGACTATCATCAGATAGAGGTTCATCCCAATGATCAGTACAAGACAACATTCCGGACTAGATATAGGCACTATGAGTTTATAGTTATGCCCTTTGGACTAACCAATGCGCCAATGACTTTCCAGCGCTGCATGAATGACCTGTTTAGGCCATGGTTAGATAGATTTGTAGTAATGTATCTATATGATATTCTCGTGTTTAGCAAGACCTTCCAGGAGCATGAGGGTCATCTGAGGAAGGTCATGGAGAATCTTAGAGAAGCTAACTTCAAGATCAACGCAAAGAAGTGCGAATGGGCCAAGACGCAAGTGTTGTACTTGGGCCACGTCTTAGACGGAGACGGCGTTAGACCCAAAAATAGTAAGATTGCAGCGATTAGAGATTGGCCAACGCCCCGCACACTGACAGAGTTGCGGTCGTTCTTAGGCCTAGCTAACTATTACAGGAAGTTTGTAAGAAACTTCTCCACCATCGTTGCACCCCTTCCCATGTTGCTAAAGAAAGAGGCAATCTGGAAGTGGGACAAGGACTGTACAACTGCCCTGAAAATATTAAAGCGGGCCCTAATAGAATACCCAGTCCTTAAGGTAGTTGATCCGTCCCTACTTTCCGTTGTTACCACTTACGCGAGTCAGTATGGCATAGGTGTTGTTCTACAGCAAGACGATGGCAATGGATATAGGCCCGTAGAGTTCATGTCTGCTAGGATGCCTTCAGAGAAGGTGGCGACATCTACCTATGAGAGGGAACTCTACGCTCTCAGGCAAGCACTAGAGCACTGGAAACATTACTTGCTTGGGAGGCAATTCAAAGTCTATTCAGACCACGAGACTCTAAGGTGGTTGAAGACCCAGGTCAAGATGACACCTAAGCTTACTAGGAGGGCCGCAGAGTTAGACCAGTATGACTTTGAACTAAAGCCAGTTAAAGGGAAGTATAATGTAGTAGCGGACGCTCTGAGTAGAAAAGATGATTACTTTGGGGCAATAGTTCACTATCTGGATATAGGGAGAGATCTGCAGCAGAAAGTTAGAGAGGCCTATGCACAGGACCCTATCTATAGTGATCTCCTCAAGAGAGTTAGGGAGGCCCCAGAGTCCGAGCCAAACTACCGCACTACCGATGGCTTATTATTCGAGAAGACTAATGTAGTTGACCGCCTGCGCGTTCCCAATAGTGAAGAGATCCGTGTTTGATCTTAGGGGAATGCCATGATACAGAGGGACACTTTGGTTGGCAAAAGACACTAGCCAACCTTATGTGCGCATTCATTTGGCCTGGTACGAAAGCCGACTGCATAGAGTATGTTCGCAGTTGTAAAGTCTGTCAGCGAAACAAGACTACTACGCGAACCCCTGTTGATCTTCTCAGACCCTTGCCTATTCCTGATAGACCCGGAGATTCTGTGTCCACCGACTTTATGGATACTCAGGTCAAGAGTAGGCATGGCAAAAGTCAAGTCACGGTCATAGTAGATAGATTTAGCAAGTATGCAGTTTTTGTTCCTTTACCTGCAGAGGCATGCACAAATTTACTAGTTCAAAAGTTTTTTGACCATAGGGTCAGTGAGCATGGTATACCGCTATTGATAGTTAGTGATAGGGAGACCCAATTCACTAGTCAGAACTGGTAGGAGCTAATGAAAGTTTATGTCTCAAAGTTGTTGATGTCATCTGGTCGTCATCCTGAGACTAACGACCAGACTGAACAGATGAACAAGCTCCTGCAGCAAGTTCTCAGAATGTACATTAGGCCCGATCAGATCAATTGGGATGAGATGCTCCCAAAGGTAGTCAGTGCCTACAATAATAGCGTGCACTTATCTACGTGTCGCACTCCCAACAAGCTGCACAAGTCCTTTAGACCGCGCAGGCCATTTGAAGGACTTAACTGGGATCAGATTCAGAGGTTACCGCCCGGTATACGAAAGTTTGCGAATACATCACGAGAAAGAGACAGCTACTGTTGTTGACAACCTCAGGAAAGCCCAACACAGAATGATAGAGCAAGCTAACAAGCATCGTCGCCCCTCACAGTTTTGAGTAAGCGACTTAGTCTGGGTCAAGTCAAAAGAGTTTGCTCCTGAGGAAAACATCTCACAAAAGTTGTTGCCTGCGTATAGAGGACCGTGGCCAGTCCTAGAAGTCAAGGGCGGAGAGGATGGACCGTCCTATACTATCTAGATTCCTGCACACCTACACACCTACCCAGTGTTCCATGCGTTAAAGTTGTTGCCTTGCATTACAAGTCAACAATTTCCATCACGCAGATCTATGATTCCTCCGGATATGGATGAAAGATATGACATTGAAGGGATAGTAGGTGAGGATGTCTTCAGGACAGGAGGTAGAGGTCGTCCCCAGAAGCAATACAAAGTCAGATTTGCTTATCAAGAGCCAGAAGACGGCTGCTGGTTCACGTGAACATAACTTCTAGAGACAGCTCCCGATAAAGTATGAGCTTACGAAAGAGATAAGAAGGGTAAAGGTCCTGCCTTAGACTAAAGTATTCTCGGACGACCTCGAATTTAAGCCGTCGGGAGTGAAACGTTTTTCACCTTTCTGCAGTCACAGATGCGGGCCCTAGAGTTCGATTCCCATACCTCACTTTGCCCGTGTACAGTATCGAGTTGACATCGGAGCGTTTGAACCCGTGACCTGTGTTTTGGTAGTTGTTTGTCGTCTGCCGTAGGTCTGTGTAGTGGTAGGGGTTCGATATGTAGGTCTGTCAGTTAGGAGTCACAGCTTTGTAGAGGTCGTAGCTGTAGGTATTCTGAAAGGTCAAGGTCGTAGCTGCTACCATATCCGAAAGGCCAAGTCCACAGACTTCCGGAAGGTCCGGAAGTGGCCTTTCGAAGTGTCTCACGTTTAGTCAGAGGCAAGTGGGCAAGCGGTGAGCCTTTAGTCAGAGGCAAGTGGGCAAGTGGTGAGCCAACTGCGTTACGTCGGCAGTGCAACTGCGTCGAGTTGGCAGTGCAAACCCATGCAGCCAGCTGCACTGGTCCCAGTCAGTCGGAGTTCAGTCAAGCAAGTACCGTGTAGGACTGTGTGCACCAAGGGCCGGGAAAAGGGGCAGACCAACGAGTTACAGAAGTATAAATCAAGAGGCAGCACCAAGCCATTCATTCATTCGCTGCGTAAGCCATGCGGAAGTGCTGTTACAGCGTCTTGTGCGAAGGTGGTCTGCAGGTTGCCCGAATTTGAAGTGGGCCGAAGAGAGAGTGTAGCCATAGCCAGTAGTGTTAGTGCGGCCATAGCCGCTGTAGGAGGAAGTGAGATTGAGTGTGTGTTTGTGGTGGTATTCACGGTGATCCAGAGTGAGCGTGTGTGAACAGTGGGGTTGGACACAGTGACGAAGGTTGGGATGTCCAGGCGCCCATGCGCCATAGCCTGTTGAAGAGAACTTGCATCTGAACTGTGTTCTTGATTTCCATATCTCTAAGCTTTGAGTGGGTGCCCTGCGCCAGTGTGAATCTCCATCTGTTTGCATGTATGTGAAGTGGAAGTGAAAGCGAGTCTGATTGCAAATTTTAAAAATAAATGAAATAAATAAAATATTCAGTCCGGCATATGTAGAATGTGGTCAGGTGGTGAAAACAGATATGTACTGGCTCACGCAAAGGATCCTACTATTCTGACTAGTTCAAGAACAGATTCGAAGCAGAAACGGATTAAATGAATATTGCTCTAAATAAGGCTATCTGTTAGATGTCAGCAGTCAGTAACATCTGCAATCAGACTCGCTTTCTTCTTCACTTCGCATGCATGCAAACAGGTGGGAATCCAAACTGGCGCAGGGTGCCCACACAAAGCTCCGAGATATTCAAGTCGAGAACACAGTTCAGATACAAACTCACTTCAACTTGACTATGGCGCCTGAGCGCTTACACATCACTCTTCCCCAATTGTGTGTTCACCTCAACTGTTCACATGCACTTCACACTGGATCCCCCTGGATATCCCACGCACACTCAATCAGTACCGTACACACACACACTGAACCCTATCTCTAAGCTATAGCGGCTATGGCCGCTCATCCACTACTGGCTATGGACACTCTATCTCCTTTCAGCCCACTTCGACTTCGGGCATCTGCAGACCACCTCTCACAAGACGCCTGGGCCGCGCTTCCTCATGGCTCACGCAAGAATGAATGAATGGCTGGATGCTGCCTCTTGATTTATACGTCTGAAAGTCGCTGGTCTGCACCCTTTCCACCGGGCCCTTGGTGCACACAGTCCCACATGGTACTTGCTGACTGGACTGAGTGAGACTGGGACTGGGTACCACTGACTAAGCAAGGTTGGACGCACCACTTGCCCACTTGCCTCTGGTCTGCTGTGAACAACGTTCGAAAGGCCACTTCCGGACGTTCTGGAAGCCTGCGGTCTTGGCCTTTCGGAACTGTAGCAGCTACGACCTTGACCTTTCAGGACTGTAACAGCTATGGCCTCTACACAACTATGACCCCTACTCGACAGACCTATGGTTAAAGACCCGACAACTACATCGACCTATGACAGACAACAACTGACTCCTAAAACGCAAGTCACGGGTTCAAACACACAGGGGTACTGTACACGGGTGAGGTGAGGTCTAGGGATCGAGCCCTGGGATCTGCATCTGCTACTGCAAAGGTGAAAACCGTTTCACTCCCGCCGGCCTAAATTCGAGGTCCTCCAAGAATACTTCAGTCAAAGGCAGGACTTTGACCTTTCTTATATCTCTCATACGCACGGACTACATCAGGAGCAGTCGCTAGAAGTTCTGTTCGTGTGAACCAGCGATCGTCTTCCTGTTCTTGATAAGAAAATCGGACTTGTACTGTTTTTGCAGATGGCCTCTACCTCCTGTTCTAAACACATCTTCACCTACTATGCGATCAATGTCGTGCCTTCCATCCATGTCCGGGGGGATCATGGATCTGCGTGATGAAAACTGTTGACTTGTGGTACAAGGCAGCAACTTTGATGCATGGAAAACTGGGTAGGTGTGGAGGTGCGCTGGAATCTCTATGGTGTACGACGGTCTGTCCTCTCAGCCCTTTACTTCTAAGACTGGCCACGGTCCTCGGTATGCAGGCAATAATTTATGTGAGATGTTTTCCTCAAGAGCAAACTCCTTTGACTAGACCCAGACTAAATCGCCTACTTGGAACTGTGACAGGCGACGGTGCTTGTTAGCCTGTTCTATCATCTTATGCTGGGCCTCTGTTACGGTAGCAATCTCTCTCTCATGTTGTAGTGCAAACTCCCTAGTACCGGGCAGTAGCCTCTGAATCTGATCCCGATTCAGTCCTTCAAATGGTCTACATGGTCTTAAAAACTTATGCAACTCATTGGGAGTGCGACAGGTCGCTAAGTGCACGCCATTGTTGTATGCACTGGCTACCTTGAACTTGCTGCAGGATCTTGTTCATCTGTTCAGTCTAATCGTTGGTCTCTGGATGTAGGCCAGATGACATCAGCAACTTTGAGCCATAAACTCTTATCAATTCCTGCCAGTTCTGACTAGTGAACCTGGTATCTGTGTCACTAACTATGGACAGCGGTAGACCATGCTCACTGAACCAGTAATCAAAGAACTTCTCTATAACTAAATCTGTACGTGCCTCCACGGGCAAAGGAACAAAAACTGCATACTTAATCTTTGCAGTTGTGATGACCCGTCCTAACATGGACTGAAACACACGACTGATTTCTGAGTTTTGCCCATAGACTGGATGCCTTGCTGAGTTTCCCGCCTGCTACTAAGTCTGTGTGTGCACACTTGCTGGACTGCATGTCTGTCTGAGTGCTGGTTGGCTTGAGTGTTTGTGTGGCCGTGCCTGTCTGAGTGCTGGTTGGCTTGAGTGTGTGTGTGGCCCGCAAGGGCACTTGCTCGTTCATTGGGCCCTCAGGGCCGGTACTTACCTGTAGCCGTGACATTGAGGGATTGCAGCA